GTGCCGAGCTGTGCACCGAATGAACACTCGCGGGCGGGAATATAATAGCCACAAATGTTAACAACATTCCATGTGTACAATGAAACAGCTGAGTGTGTGCAGCATTGTTGTAATAATTTTTCTCTGTTTGATGTTACTCAGACATCGATAAACTGCGCCCGCGCCGCGTCTCTGACCTTGGTGCGTCCGCGTCGTTAACAGTTCGCCAATATTCCAGACTAAGATTCACTCAGACTGTTTTATTGCTCGCTTCAATTTACACCAGAAAGCAACACAATATCGCCATCAATCGTCGCTTGCGTAATATTACAGGAAATTTTTTGTTCCATAATATATTGAGCATGTGCGTCAAAATCAGAAGGAACGAGTTGCTAACTGTGTGAAGTACAAATATAATAAATCTTACGTTATAAATATAAATTCGTGTGGCTGTTGGCCGTTGGGTTATAACTGTACGTTCTGAATATAAAGCTATCTATCAATCAGACATTCCATTGTAAATAGGAGACCACTACTCCTGGATATTGACGTTTATGACATCAAATTATAATGTAACCGACAGACATTATTCTGCATAGTTATATGTATAGAAAATGTATTGTCCCAGGGAAAAAAAGACTGCCTCGTTGGCCGAGTGGTCGCAAGTGCGACTGCCGGGCAAAGGGTCTCGGGTTCGATTCCCGGGTCGGGCAAAGTATTACTGAGTTTTTTAAAAAAATTAAAAAAATCCCAGTATTAGCACGGAGTATGGAAATGTGCCCGGTATATAGCAATAGGCTCACCCCCTATTACATGGGACTCATAACATAAACAGTGAAAAGTGGGTGTTACTTCTGTGTGGACCCCTTCGGGGGTTAAAGGCGTGATGTTATGTTATGTAACAAAAGTAGGTAGTACCTAGCACGCCATATGTATGCAGTAGGTACCTAGAGTATGTTATAGAAATAAAATCTGAGCTATAATTAATACAAAGCTATAATTAGTGCAATGATTCAGTCGCGCAGGAAATGCAGCGGAACTGTAACAGTAGGTGGTAACAATGTCTTAGATACGTTATGTAGTATATAGTAATACATAGAATTCTATAAATAGGTGAAGGAAGTGGTGCGGTAACTAAGTGGGGTCGTTAGTGAGTAATTAATTGTGCTGAGAACTTGAAGTAGAAGCTGCGTGCTGGTCGCAATCTGTGCAAGTTGAGTCGGTTCAGGTAATCATATTTTAGGAGTTCGCGTGCCTACACTATCACACGATATGCAATGCTTGAGTTGCCCAGAGACAAAACAATGTTTCGTGGATACAAATGATATAATTAATTATCTTTATCTTTAAAAAAGTCTAGAATTCAGAAGCTGTACAACAGTGTGTAATGTCCAGGCTGTACTCATATCGATGCACGCTTATTACTCAAAAGCACGAGCTACAATCACGGCGCAGGATAATTGTTACCATTAATTAGTGCGTACTTGATTATTACCTACTGTACTCGAGTAACTAATGTGACTACTCAGAGATTCGATTGCCAGGTCGAGTAAATACGACTTAAACTGTAGAAGACTGAAATGTTGAAGCTTATAAAATAAAATTAAAACTACAGAGTTAACAAAAAGCCAGTAATGAAATCTTCACTCTCATTATATTCATCAGTAAACACACTGTTACGCATAGATATCTAGTCTTTCTTATATCTATGCTGTTACGCAATCAATCCAAAAATAATATTTGGTTAAGAATTACACCGCCTTTCCTGCAAATGTCAGTGTATGTAAACATAATAATATGCCCATAAAGTAATATAATAAGGTAATCAAGCAACCATAATTATAATAGATAATTTATAGTGGGTGCAATACGTTTGACGCTCTACATCTATGATTTCAAATTAAATAAATCGATGGTACTAATGCAAGTTGACTCTGCTAACAACTTCCAAACCTATGGGCCTAAAGTTACGCCCAACTCCGGCCACTTCACGCCTCGATATCGGCCGCAGCCTATCTGTCTGTCTGGGGCATCCCACAGTACGGCTAGTGCGGCTGAGTTTCCTGACCGTGTCCTGATTAATTATTTAATTTCAATCATCCGTATAATTACTCATATACTGCTCGGTACCTCTACATATGTATAATCTACATATATGTAGGTACATTGGATTTCCCACTTGTAATATGTAGACTGTATTTATTTATCACCTTATAATATAATACACTAGCTGTATATTATGTGATCATATAATTATAATTGTCACGAGTCAACTTTATGTAATAGTACGGCTGTTACGATTCTTTATCAAATTATGACTCTAACATGTAGAGTGTTTACTTAAGTTAGCTTTTTAGTCTCTAATTAATTAATTGTTTTAGAATATTAAACTGTCAAAAACGCGAGGACATCGGTGTTCGCACACGTATTGTTCTTTAATTGTGTCTATAATGACGGTACTCAGAGGGTAAATTATTTGTTTGATAAGAATTCTACAGTACATTAAGAAACTAGAAGATTTAATAACAACTCTTCTATTTATTATTATAATTGTACATATTATTGATGAAGGATGGGTCATCAAATACTTTCAGGTTTAATTTCAGGTTAGACTAAGTATTTTTCCTCTTTTGTCTAGGGTTTGACACCGAAACGTGCACATGTGTAATGTATGTCTACCAGATCTCATGTAACTTTAGTTTTAGTACAAATTGTATGATATTTGGTACTTACATACAATCATGTTTACAGTAATGCGGTGACCGCAGTATAATGTTCCGCAGCTCATGTTGTTATATACCGTCGTCGTTTGGCTCCACGTGCAACACGTTACTGTACTCGAATGTAAACAAAGCGCTGTTTACATTAAATTCGTAAGACTTGGTACATAAGTAAGTAGGTCCCGCCTTGCGCTAATTAACACCGAAACAACAGTAGATACAGGTCGCCTCACTCACCTACTGTGGATATTCCCGGCACCTAGTTTTCCTGTATCGATATTGATTTACTATTGTATAATTTATATTTTATTTGCGAGTTGTGTTTAATATTGCGGTATTATAGTAATTGCCGACGAGTGTTTTATCGCGCGGTTCCTTGTAAAACTTTTGCGGGTTTCTGCGAACATTATCTATTCTGTAGTACAATATTCTGTGGCTTTGGTTACTTCGTAAGGCTGCATCATCTATATTTCTAGTGGTGATTTAGTTGACCAATAATACAGTTACTACTTATTTATAGAATAGGTACATAATTTTGTATCTATCTAAATTAAACATGTTCGTCAAGAACACAAATCTGCATTGCAAATAAGATTTTTGAAAAGATTTTGTATCCTTGTAACGGTTCCTCATTTACAAAATACACAAAAAATGCCAAAAAAATTGTAACCGTTTAAAACAACTGACTGACTTTGTGTGTAAACAATAGCGCGGTCCCTAATCTCGGCGCGCGTTGTCATGGCGACAATAATGTTATTATCATTAACCATAAAGAAGGGAGTTCAGGTAGGAGGACTGGACACAGTGGACACACAAACAAACACAATAAATGTTGACAGAAACTACTTCTTGACGATAAAGTTTAGTCATAAAATTTTACCTATTTGGAAGACGTGCCATGTATGCAGGCAGTAGGCCAGTACCTACACATAGATAAGTTCTGATGTCTATTGCTTATTATTAAATTAGGGAAATGTTCAATTTCACATTTCATTAGCGTTTACAACTAATTTCTAAGTAAAACGAGTCTAACAAAACCAAGTATCTAGGTAACCTATTGAATGACCATCAATACTTGGCAATGTACCTTATTTATTACGTATTACGATTGATAATACTATTTGTAGTCATAATAGTAACAGTCATAACCTTTTCCCAGCCACAACCGCACTCTACGTAGGAATGTAGGTGGCGGGGAGTTCACAAACAAGTCACAACTCTGATGACTCGTTAATGACGTTTGACAAATAACATTAAATTGGGAAATAAATTAATGCATAATGCAATTCTTGAAAATGTAATGGTTTTTAAATGGAATGGTTCAATAAACCACAACAATAGGCAGAAGATATAGAACTTGTTTTTGCCAGAGCTTTGCTTGTGGTGCTGCGCGGACGGTAAGAATATTTATAAGCATGTAGTATTTCACTCTCCGGCACCGACGTGCTAAACATTAGTTCAGTAGATTTTGCGTGACAATTCATTCGTCTACAAATCACATTTAAATAGTGCTAGCAGGATATTACCTATACAAGATTAATATTAAACTTGTAACCTTGGTAATCAATCGATATACAGGAAAGTGAAATAGTTAATCCAACAACAATAATAGCAGCAGCCCTCCCCTCCCCCTTCTCACAAATAATTCGACATAATATTATAATAGTATTCAGGAATGTGGAGAACAGATGGCAGATGGTGTGCGTGCCGCTTTTTTGCAGACAGTCACCCAGCACCTGTCAGCATGCGGGCACAGCTTCAACTTGAAACACACACACGCACGTGGTGCCACAACAATATAATCTAGATTTAGGCCAATATTTGTGGTATACAAATCCTAGGTTTTAATTAAAGTTGTAATATAAGAATTTTGCGAAAAATATATCCCTGTCTGCTTTGGCGGTCGAGTGACCTTAGTCCAATACCCATTACGAATGTAATGATAAGCATAATATATTATGTACTTGCAGTATTTAGTATTTATTATAAATAGTAACATTGCGTTATCAGCTCGCCCACACAAGTAGCGAGGATAACACTCCCTTACGCGATACATGTAGTCTCGCCACTCGCCTGCAAGCTCGCCTGACGGCGTTTATTTACATTCGTTTTATTTCATCTTGCTGGACGTAAAGCAGATTCATCTCAAATTAGATCTGCAGCAACCAGCACTGCATCACTCCTTATCAAAATCCACACGCGCGCAGGTGCTACCTGTGTCTACAAAAGAAATGCGTTGGTGTGCGTGTTTCGGGACGAGCAGGTCGGCGCACGCGCAGGTGCCCGCTCATTCTCCATTCAGCTTTCAAGCTTGTCCGTTTATTGTGTCGAATATTTTAGAGTTATTACTTTTCGCGAGTTTTGGTTCATTTGTACAAGTAGTTGCAGTGGACGAGGACGTCTCTACCGCCACTGTACTGTCAGCTCACACAAATAACGAATATATACAACACCTACCCACACTGAGACATAGCTGCGCACGCGCCGGAGTTGTTTACTGCACACATCAGCTGTTTCAGCAGATACTTACATCGTTACAGTATCGGTGAGTTTTATTTAGCATGACTTTTTTATTTTATTCTTGTTATGATTCAGACGACTAACCAATAATTTGTGAATTTATTAGCACGAGTATAGTAGTATTTAAATTTTTCAATTGATTTATTTTAATTAATAAATTAGTGTAACGTTTAATACTTTCCAACCATAAGCCTATTACTATGATATTACGAATATTACAAGTTTAACTTATACGTACGTCAGCCACTGCCATGTGTGGACTGTCTGACATCATGCAAGTCAAGTGTCACTTCATGTCATTCTTGTCAACCATAACTGCCTTATACAGGGTGGGTACTGTCTGATGTCCATCAGTCCGTATGTGACCAAACTTGGAGACGTGCAGCTGGTGGCCATGACAGTTGACAATCAGCGAGATAGCCTCGGTGATACTATTGAAATATGAAAACGATGGGACGAATGACTGATGGACAGACATGCGGAAGTGTGCTCGACCCTTGTAAGGAAAACTACATGCAGTAAAATATTTCGCTATGCTAGTAAGAAAATGGATATTAATTGATCTTTATTTTATTTGTCCTGAAATTTTTTTATCACCTGTACCTACAGACTCGGATTTATACATAGGTGTACACGTAATAATATAAGCATAATCAAACTGAGAGTAAATGAACTTCATTTATTATAACAAAATTATATTGCACAATGGAAATTACTGTACATTATATCAGGAGTACCACCTATCTGGCGAAATGTAATATTTAATTATTTTTCTGTTTCACTTAATTACAGCTTATAATGATATTCAGTTGGGATATTCCGAGTATTACGGTCACGCAGAACAATGCAATGTAGCGTTATTATACATATTTAAAATCCAGAAAACTTGTATGTTTTCCATTAATACCGTCATGTTATGGAAAACGGTAATGAAGTAGATAGCCAAATCTTATTTTGTTCAATAAAGTAACGAAAATCCAAAATGATTAGTCGAATACCACTCTATCTCGCGAATAAATACCAAAATAATGCGAACTCACACAAAGAGACAGGTGTGCAGGCATCGAGGTATCGAACAGAGCGTCCACGATCCGCGATAGACAGTCGATAGACGTTAAGGTAAAAGTCCGCGACACACCGCCGTGAATATTGATAGCTACTGCCACTATCATTAGTTAAATATCCTGTGCCGTGGAGGTATTGTTCCGAAGACTATTGTGACACAAATGGACGTAGACTATTGGTTTAGGAAGCAGTAGAACTTGGGTACATACACCTGGTGACCATTGCATCTGCTCTGCCTGTTTCGGTCGCAGGTAACTTTTACATCGAAACCTTTCTCAATCCATTTAACACCTGTCTCAGGCGGTCTGTGCGGGGCCGGGGCGCTTTATCTCGTGCGATGTATTTACGTAAATGAGATGTCGTTTATGTTATCTCCGCAATTTATTTGCTAAACATTACTTATTGAATAAGTAGATATTTCAACTTCAAACTTGTACCTATTAATAACAACAATGTTCACAAAAACTATACTTACATAGGTAATATTAAAATGGGTGTCTACAATATTCGTCAAAATATTTCATTCATTTGCATTGAATTGCTTCTGCAGTTGTAATCAGACACCTAACGGTAAACTGTGCTACTAGATATTTGTGTATTGCCTGTAGGTAATGATATATGCATGCTAAACATTAATATAATGTTCACCATTCATCCGTCCTTCACTCACAAACTACACGAGCAGAGTTCATCGCACGTCCGCGACTTCCAGACACCAAATAATAAGTACTATGTACCTAATATCCTTCACACCTTTTTACAAAATCATTAGTATTGGCGACATGTAAAGAGAAACCATTTACCTACATATTTACCTACGTTTCAGTAAAGCAGTTCTAGACAGAAAGGCATTCTGTATATTGGATAAGGTATAATGAGGTACCATTAGGCCTTAGAGACAGTATGTCCCCATACACTAGAGTCTCACTGTCTCGGACTATACATATATCTATTTATCAAGCAACAAATTCGACATTCCATTTTAGTATGCAACTATTTATTATGCCTGTCAGAATTTGTAATTGTGTCCAGTTCGTACATTGTCCCGTTACTTACTACTAACAAACTCCAATTAAACATCGATACAGAATCTATTAAAATTCCTGCTGATTTCATTCTTTAGCCGAATAGGGTGTCTAAGCACCTGGAAAATGACTTCGTGACATGTTTCATTAAACTTATTAATTACAATATTTTTCATGAGCCTTCTGCGTTACTGTAGGTACCTATAATCTACTGGGCATCATGCAACGTTGGCTCTGTCACGTAAACCGGACAAATCCACAGCAGGAATATTGTCTACATGTGTGTACAATACATATACAGTAATACATGTGTTGTAATAGCTAACGCGCGTAGCTACGAGTCACACCCTCTGTCTTAATTAATTAAAATTGATCTGACAGCCGCCCCTTAATTGCCCCCTACCAGCGCGCTAAGCCTACAGCGATTGTAATGCTGGCGGGTATCAGCAGGATGGTACGGTCAAGCGGTGTCAATAACTAGGTTCATTACTAAGTGAAATAAAATATTGCTCGGGAACAAAAACAATACTCTTTCGCTTTACAATAATCTCGTTGGTGGTCTCAACGATAACCCAAAAAATGATAACATTGCGAAAATATTTAAAATGGGTATTTCAGAATGAAGTAGGCAGGATTATGGGTATTTCTGTCAATTAGTTAATTATACTGCCTCTAGAGAGAGCTATATATATTTATATATATTCGTTCTATATAATATAGAGAGAGAAGTATATATTCGTTCCTGCATACGGCTAATCGGTATAGTCTAAAAACCCGAATAATTTGTACTTTACAGCGGAAAAATGTAAAGTTATCCTTGTGAAATTAATAGTTTCAGCGAAATAATATTTCAGGGCATATATTTACTGCATAACGACATTGATAGCCAATTGATAACTTTCTCCTTAAAATTAAAATTAATTTGCTTTTATTTCAGTTAACAACCTCTTTACGGTAATCTTACTGTGACATCGACAAGTACAGTTATAATACATCAAGTTGAGTGACGCACGTCAATGTGATGTCAGGTACTCGGCTATTATTTCAGTGGTCCTAGTCGAACCCACGAGGATAAATTCGTGAGAGATAACTAATTAAACCACATTGTCGTCATGATCAGGGAATTAACAAACATTTGAGGAATTCATTATCTCGACTGACTTCATGAACTTGCGTCATAACAATTCAATAACATGAACATAGATTGTTTTAAATTAAGTGTTATCCGTTAGACTGATAAGCTTAAAGTTCAAAATAAATTATAAAATATCGCAATGCGATTGAACATTGTTTTTGAAGTAACAGTATAACTTCACGCCTTTTGAACAATAAGATAGACACAGGAATATTGGTGGAATAAAATCTATGGAGTTTGTTAAAATTGGAGTAAGTTCCCATATGTATGTAGATACTATGTAATGTATAGATAAACTGCGCAACGTATGTATGTGTGTATGCAATGACGCTGTCGAGGTGAGTGGCGCGAAGTTCCCCTGCAACAGTTCTGTGGGTGATGGACAATTGGACAGTTTAATGGACGAAGAAACTGAATTACTCACACATTTAATTTAACATATATAAGTATGTTGAATGCTTATTACAATACTTAAAACAATACCATACAATGATAGTTGCAATTAAAACTTGTAAAAGGTTTTGCACGTCTCGCGGCAGTCGTTTCGATCGGTCTGAAGCGAGTAAGCGACGAATCATTCCGTATATGGGCCCCTTTACAACAAATACTTGCTAAAGGTGTCCACCTTTAGCAAGTATTTGTTCGATTTGATATTTTGTTTGCCATTTCAACTAATTTCCGATAGTGATGAGTACAAGATTATAATATTACTCTTTGTATTCACAATAATATTGCATAATTCTACAATAAGTAGGTGTAAACAAACCTAATGAGAGACATACATACAAGGCGCACGCGCTCACATAGTTGCATAATATAAAGTTTTCCCGTACATTAATACTTAATAGTGATAATAATAAATTATAAAAATCAGGATTAACAATTAATACTAGCAACGGGAAAAATTGTGGTTATTATGTTTATATTATTATCTTTTATTGTGCATATAATGTAACGATATACTTATATACGACACGGACTTAGTGCTGGTTCTTTTGTTTCTAATACGGTTGTCTGTTATTTTGTTTATTGTGCCAATTCTCATCCCACCTAATCAATTATGTAGGTCTCATGTTGATCAGTATACGATGTTCTATCTCCACCTTTGTCACTGAGATATTAAACATAATTATACACTTTAGTACTTAGTACTTTTAATTACCTATAGGATTATTTACGAAGATTATTTCATTTCATTTCTAATTTTAAATTGATTTTATTTTAAGAATTGTTAGCCAAATATGTATTTTTGACTCGTGTTATATTGTTATGTCGTGATTTAGATATAATCTTTTATATTTTCTTGACATTTCTGTAACTTCTTTCAATTGCTGTATGCGCATGATGTGATACTCTTTAATTGAAGGATCACAAGGTTATTGTAATGTCTGGTGGATTATTTTTTATCATGTAAGTGTATCTTTTATGTCCAAATAAATAAATAAAAAAATACAAATAAAAGAAAATACCACAACCAATGAAAATGTACCTCCACACATCTCTCGGCAACTAGTTTAATTTTATCGTCATTAATCAGAGTACTTCCTTTTACCATGGAATTCCTAATTAGTTCACTGAAATAGGTTTTCCTTGTGAGGGAATATAAAGCCGCGCGCCCAACACTGACCGACTGTATTTGTTGATTACAGCCGACGCGGACGGAGGACATCGCGCAGCGCGGCCATGTCGTCCTGACTGAGTGACATACGAGCTCGCCATGGCTCCGGACATTGAACACTGCGAAACGCAGCGCCTGAATGAGGAGCAAGCTGTACCTGTGCACCATGGCAGGCGGATCCTACCGGACGGCCAGCCGCCGGCTAGCGCCTGGGTCGAGACTGAGGACGAGCGGCCCGGAGACAACACCAGCAGCCCCGGCGAGAACAAGCGCCTGCTCCCCTCCGGCCCGCCGTCTAAGCACAAGTCCAGGCTGCAGGCCGGCCTCACGCTGGGAGTGCATCCTCCCGTCAAGTACAAGTACCCTCCAGCCAACAAATCCCAGAAAACTTTTCTGAAGACCAAGTCTGATAAGAAGTCTGAAAGAAAGGCAAATCTCATAGCTTTATTGAAGCCGCCGTACTTCATAGTCTCCATGATTATTGTAAATGTAAGTTCGACATTGATTGAGCATTACCCTCTGTCTTTACAACCAGAGATGATCAGCAGTAGATAATGTGTTACAGCTGTATGTGACCCTAGATGACCGTGCGATCATTCTGTTCCTAGGTATTGATTCACGAATCGATCAAGGATGCTGACGTGCGCGCCTTGCTGCAGTGGAACCCGGACTCGTGGTGGCGCGAGCCCTGGCGGCTCGTCACCTACGGCTGCGTGCACGCCAGCCACCTGCACCTTGCACTCAACTCGCTCGTCGCGCTGGCTGTAAGTACCTATTGATATAATTATAAAGTTTCACACATTTCTTATTTTTTAAACTACAAATGAAAGTGTTTGAGGAGTTGTTCAATATTCTAACTGATTGTGTGTTGCAGGTGGGCTGGCCGCTAGAGCGCGAGCAGGGCTGGTGGCGCGTGGTAGTGCTGTGGGTGGGCGGGCTGGTGGCCGGCGCGCTCGGCGCTGGTCTGCTGCAGGACAGGGTGCGCGTCGTCGGCGCTTCCGCAGCTGTGTACGCGCTGCTTACTGCGCATATTTCTAATGTGTGCCTTAGGTAATTATTCTATTCATTGCATTGCACTTGACATATTTGGATAACATATTACTAAATAACATATCCGGGTTCATTATCAAAAATAGTTTCTATTATTAATAAGTGCATTCGATTTACTGTATTATTCCTGCAATGGTGTTTTACAACCGAGCTGTTTGATTTCAGACACGGGCACATATCGTTGTGGTGGTTCCGTCCCCTGAGCGTGCTGGTGCTGGGTGCGTCGGAGGTGTGCTGGGCGCTGGTGCGCACCCCGGCGCCGGCGCGGGCGGCCCCGCACGGCGAGCACATGCACAGTCCCTACGAGTACGTCGCCTGGGCTGCACATATCCTCGGTGCAGTCGTCGGGGTGCCGCTCGCTTTCGTTGTGTTCACTGGTAAATATTTATTTTTAGATATTAATTAAATACAAATTAACATTATTTGGACAGTTTTTGTTTACATTATTTTAATAAATAGTATTGCTTGTTTAATGTATCTTATAATATTTGTAATGTCTGTATTTCAGGTGAGAACAGTAGGAAAGCATACGTGATAGCGTGTCGCGTGATATCTGCCATGGTCCTGGTGGCGGGGGTGGTGGTGGCCACCGTCTGCTACGCGCAGGTCGCCGCCGCCGAGTACAATGAAGAGGACATGACCTGAGCCTGGCCCGCGACACTGTGGCGATTCGATGTCAAGTGCAATTCGTACTCATCCGTCCGCTATTCGTAGCTTAGAATAGCTTTTGATGGGAATTTTACAAGTTTGTACCGTTTATAAGTACCTACCTACAAGTGTAAGCTAAGGAGCCTGTACTCTGCAGTAGTGGTTGCGACCTACTCGTGGCCGCGTTTGTGGGATGATCGATCTTTGTCTATTCTAGTCTTAAGTGTTATGTAGGTACAAACATGTTCATTTGAAATAGTTTTAAGGAAAATGTGAAGTTGTATATTCTAAATTGTAACTCCGTGTCTTCCCACAGTTGGGTGACACACGCACCTACAGACAGACAGAGTTCTGGTACTGTACTCGAACAAACATATCTTATAGTTAGTGGCGGCGCGGGGTTACTGCTGTTGTTGATTTCTGTGAAATCTCTCGTTCTGTTGTTTTGTATCAAAACGTTGTACACGGCTAGTGATATGTTGTAAGCTTTGTACTTAGCTGTTATTGTAATGTAAGCAACTGTAACTGTAACAAGTGCAATTGTAACGAACTACTTACTGTTGTCTACAGTTATGTGACTCTCCTTAAAGTAATCTTTAAACCTTTATATATACGGTTACGGCTGTGATAATGTCATGAAGATATTGAATCTTACTCTGTAGCGAATGCTCACACTCCAGCAAATGAACCTACACCAATCAGTTAAAATCCCACAGTTGATTGTCAACTTTATATTTAAGCAATAACGTTGAAATTGCAATAAAGCAAGGTTTAGGTTGATCAGCTGGTGTCTGTGCAATACTATAGCTGCTGGTGTCTGGGCTATAGTCTATGAACACATAATGTACTGGCTGTAGAGCGGCGCACCAGTCGCTGCAACCAAAGAGATTACAGTTCTAGTCCAACCTGACTTATGTTGTATTTGTATACGAGTAAATAGAAATACATGCGACTTACACTGAACTTATCTTTATAATTTCATTATTAATTTATTACACCTTCATCGCTTTATAAAGGGGATACTTAAGTCACTACATCTTCCTATAAATGAGACGCGAGACTCAAAATGTTGCTTTATTACAAGTACATTACGATGAATTTTTGAAAATCTCAACTATTCTATATCTCGTAAATAGATATCTGTCGTTGATTGGTCCGCTAAACAATAGCACACAATCGAATCAATTTGTTTGTTGATTTGGTTTGTAAGTGCAATATGTGGGACTTTGTATACATTCATAATAATATTTTATCGGACGATGGAGATAAATGGGTACACACCTACACACACATCTAAGTGGGGGTAGCTATATGTGTACCAAGTGAAGTTGTAACAACATGATATACATATATATACGAGAGGAAGGTTCTACTGCTTTAATTGTGTTTGTAACAATGATACAGTGGTATCTAAGAATTTGTGAGCTATTTAAGCTAAGCATCAAATGTCTGCCGTCTTCTTGAAGTCAGTTATCTACTTAAACAAAATGTAAAAATACGATGTAACAACAGATCAGTAAGCGATGCATCGAGTGTTATATCATATGTTTATAGCAACAAAGTAACAATTATTATGATCTCATCCTCTGTCCACCAATGAGAAATCCGAGACTATACCTTATTGATGTTCAGTTGTATGGTTAATGTATTTCAGTGTCTTACGCATTTGTATCGCTTTTGTGAATATTGTGATCTTATAAACGTTCTGTTCTCATAAATTGAAGTTTCATTTGGTTTATTCGGGAACTGTAATCCTCGAAGTGTGTCCGTCGCCGTAGGAAGAGCGGCTGCTATATTATATGTTCTCACTGCCGACCACACTACTCCCATGTCGGGTGCTAACAACTCTTAATTTGAAGGAACAACACATTCAAAAATCAAACACAAATGATGTTTAATTCGATTTAATAACTAAATTAATACTAGATATTAAATTGATAAATAAGTCTAACATATGAAACTAAAATGCACTGAGGCACCATCTTACGTCATTAAGGCACTGCGGTTTATGAAAAGTTCGATCAAAAATAACGGCAAGGGTAAGTAGCGTGGAGCACTCGGAGTGCCGTCACACAGCATGCAGTGCAAGTCGATGTGCTATTACTGTTATATTATTATTGTAGCGATCTTATTCTAGACAACACTCCATTTTGTCACTCCTCCATGCACACATTATTCAAGTCTATGATAGTCTATGTCGTATGAGATCATCGCCGGTCATTTTGTATATAAATAAATATTACAACTAGCGCCCGGATAAGAATATGAGCAGTCACTACCCGGCACTCGAACACATGATTATAACATCAGCGAGCAGGCCGCGCTCAGGCTCCGTGCTTGGAACACTCAGCTGTCGGTAGTGAGAGCATATTCCTCCAGCTATGTAACCAACCGTTCAATTAAACGCTGTACACTCCTGTCCGACCCTCAGCACGCCAGCGGCTTGCACTGGACCCCCAACTCTGTACACCAGCACTCCTGGCACGGAGTCGATAACTCCGTGATAATCCTCCCGACCCGGTACATCCTTCCGTAGATGTTACAGCCTGCTAATTTGAGAAGTCCTGGGCCTAGCAAACCTCCTGCGTTAGGGACAGGTCCTCCTGGAGAAATTGACACAAATGGAGCGGGCACCTCCAGCATCACAGGTTTTCTTTCTGTCGTATCGTACGTCTGTGGCGGCGGTCGCTTAGTGGTCTTGATCGTGACTGGACGAATGGGTGGTCGTGTAATGGCTGTTGCCTCACCGAGTACTAGGTGGTCTATCCTGTTGACTGTGTGCGGGTTCATAGGTATTTTCGGGAGAGCAAAAACGTGTGACGGAAGAGGCTTGAAGAACGAGGTGTCTACTACAGGTGGTTCGAGCAGGGGTTTGTTCGGTGGGTCTGTGGCAGAATAGACAGGAGGCTCTGTAATCGGTCTTGTGGTTGTTTTGCTAGTGGTCTTCCTGTTCGAGGCAGTGGTAGTTTCATAACTATCACTAAGTAGAAGCTTCAGTACGCTACCAAATGAGAATTCTTCCTCTTCATCTTCATCTTCATCATCGTGAGAAAACTCACCATCCTGTTTAGCAGGAACGGGTGCGGCAGTGGTCGTTGGACTAGTAGGTTTAGTAGTTGTCGGCGTAGGCGTAGTAGTAGTAGTCGTAGTAGTAGTAGTAGTAGTAGTAGTAGTAGTAGTAGATGTCGAAGCAGGAGTAGAACTGGTCGATGGTATGGTTGTAGTCGGAACACTTTCACTAACTACTTTTGGTTCGTTCGCTGAAGCGTTGTTGTTATTGTTTGATTCTGCTACTTTTGTGTTGTTATTTCCAGACGACTTGGGTGAGTTATGCGGCTGGACTACATCTTTGGCTTCGTTGTGTTTATTTTCAGTTTCATCTGACACCATTGTAGTAGAAGTATTCTTGCCTGTAATGAAACATTAAAATGACATTAACTTCAATCCTAACATACAGTACGTATAAAATATTCCAAAGTTACAGTAAAGCATTTATTTTAGTCGGTCACATTTACACGCAGTCACGTGAGTGCACGTATTTATGAAGTTATGTAAATAGAGAATAATAGCAGCTGTATATTATAATTACCGTATTACTTTACCTGCGTGGTTGTTACCGCAGATGACGTCTCCACAACAGGGATCTGTCGAGTGGTTAGAGACGGGCTGGTACCGGCAGCCGGGCGCCGGCGGGGCACAGTCCCGGCGTTCGCAGACCAGTTCCACCCACGAGCACGTGCATAGATGGCATCCCATCACGATACTCTCGCCGCCGGGTACGCGACGCCCGTCAGTTAGAACACATTCACCTGTCAAATCGATAACCACAACATTGTTATGTAAATCATTTCAATGAAGACGACGAGGCAGAAGAAGAAGTAATATGGCATATAAAAACCGTTAAGATATTGGTGACATTTCATCAGTAAGGACGAAAAGACAGAAAAACCTACAAAATTAGGGGTAAGTCATATTCAGCTAAGGAAACAGTCATTCTAAGACGACAATCAAATACTATTTACAAATATGTATCAAGTTGTAAGTAGACACTCCAACGAGTGTCTTAGTTACTATGGTTTTATTATGATGAAGTGTGAGCCATGCTTCGTCACGAATGGGCCGGCTCGACCGGAGTGATACCACGGCCATACAGAAAACCAACGTGAAGCAACGCTTGCGTTATGTTTCGTCGTGTGAGTGAGGTTACCGGAGGCCCAATTACCCTCCCCTTCCCCAATCTCCCCAATTCCTGAATCCTCAACTCCTAATCCCCAAAATGCCGGTAACGCACTAGTAACGCCTCTGGTGTTCCAGGTGTCCATGGGCGACGCCGATTGCTTACCATCAGGTGATCCTTCCACTAGTTTACCGGATTATACCATAAAAAAATGAGGATGAACATATAGCGACTCACCTTGTATACGTTTCACATCTAGTTGCATGGACGTGGTGAGGTGAGGGACGGTCGAGGTCTTGTCAGTGCTAGTAAACACTGCGAAGAAGTCATCGATTACACCTGACCCCTTCGGGATGAAACCACCTGCAATGTAGTTATGAGGTAAATAAAGAAATATTATAAATTTAATGCGGCATGTGTATTGATTGAATTGGTTAGCGTTGCTAATTACAAATAGGCCTCGATAACCAATTCACGCAAGCGAGATAGTAAATTGACCACTGTCATACGAGATGATGGCTTTCAAAGGGTTACCTTGAGTTTCCACAGGTGGAGAAAACCGATTTACAGTTGGTGTCTCCACATCAAAAGTGGTACTGGTCGTGGGGAGGTTAGTGACTGCTTTCACACCAGACATGGGACTTCCTAGTGAAGCCGACACTGTATACTCTTGGATGCCCAGATCATTGCGCTCAGGATATCTTTCCCTAGTCAGGTCCACCTCCTGGGTGATGGGAGTATACGGTGGCTCCACTTTGCCCATTACAAAGATTGGATATTGTGTGGGTTTGTAGGTATCTTCTCGTCTGACAGAGAATGTGTCGTCCTTGGTGTCGGCGGCGGCGGCGGGATAGTATACCGGGAACTTGTCCGGTCTCTCCAGTATCGGATATCTGACAGTGTCCTTGATAGGGTCATCTTCAACGACTGCATCGGCAGCTACAAATGGAATGATCCTGTAGGTAGGCAAATATAGCTTGGTTAATGATAAAATACTTCTTATCTCGTGTAATATTTTTGGAAAGTCACTCAGTACGTTTAGACATAGTAAGCATCGCTTCTATTCTTCAATAAAAATTTGATCTATTAGCAGTACTCACTTTAAGTTCGGCAATGATGGCGGCAATGTCGGCTCTGTGTAATCGTAATCAAATTCGCCCTTTTTCTTGTTAGAAACATTGAGCGCATCCTGGGCAAGGCCTGCTATTGATATCTTGGCAGCCGCCATCGCAGGTCTGGTCGTAGAGTGGCTGGTGTTGGTCACCAACGAGCTCGTCACGTTTATTGTGAACGTATCAGTTTCGTCGAAGCCACCGTTTACGTTCCTGTCAGTAATTATGTCGTTGGGTGAATATGTTTGTGCTTCCACATTAACAATCGGCACTCGAGCTATCGCTTCCTTCTGAATTTTGTCAGTGTCATTGTGAATTAGGTTCAGAGGTAAGGACGTAGAAGACAGTTCAGCTGTACAGTTTACAGTTCCGTTAACGGTAATTTTTACGATTGCTTCTGGTTGATCTGTAGATTTTTCTGGATAAGTGACAGTTATAGACTGAGTATTAGGTACATATTTAGCAGCATTTGACAGTTTCTGTGTGGTAGTGGTATCAGAAGATGTAGCGTTATTGGTTTGCTCAGCGTTTCGGACAGAGTCCAGAGATTGATCGTCTGTTCTTCGTTTAACCTTGGCCGTGGTGACGAGATGGTTCTTAGTGGCTGACGCGAAAGATATGTGTTTCAAAGTAAAAAGGGTCGCTATCTTCTTTGTGGTGGTTTCTAATTTGGT